CCCCAAAACCCCAAAACCCCAAAACCCCAAAACCCCATAAAGTTAAAATACGTCAAATTTGAGAATAGTAAAATTGAAATTATTTAGTACCATCAAGCAACAAATTTATAAGTTTAATTCGTTTATCATTCCCATAGAAGTATTTGTTGCTCACTATTAAAGACTTTCAACTAAATAAGTCTAGCCACCAGTTTGGAGGAATGAGGTTGAACTGAGATGTAAGTATCTTAGTTATTTATTGATAGGTGAGTTTCATATTGGGCTTAGGAGTCTTGTCTTTAAAACACTACTTGTATTCCAAGTTTGCTTAAATAAACGGCCAAAGTTCTACAATTATCTCGTCTTGGAAAAATTCTGTTATAAGCTTTCAGTTATTGTTAGAAAAAATATCTCTGTAAAGCTAAAGTCCTTTAGGACCTAGGATTTAACATAGTTATTCACAAGGATGTCCTTGTAGTTTCTCCTTCTATGTTTAAATACCTTTTGCGGGATTTAAAAGCAAAAGTACTATGTAAATTGTTCTTTGTGACATATTCTTTTCATCAAAACCTAATTTCTTTATCATCAGTTCTTTTGTTTTATCATATAATTTTTCATCTGAAAAATGATGCCTTCCTTAAAAAAGACCGGAGCCATGCATAGCTTGCTTTAAACAAAGTCTAAGACCTCTTAATAGTGCTTTGAATCCATAATCTAGCTTAATCTTTCCTTTACCGTTGCTTTTTTTCAAGGTATTATTCTATTGTTCCTTTGCAAATTATAATTCAGAATTTATTATCTAGTTTTAAATATTGCCTATATTTGTCAAACCTTATATATTGATACCAGTTTGTATTTTGGCTTTTCCTTCATCAATCTTAGTTTCGCTTCCGTGTTCTGGCTGGTACTAACTAATGACAATAGGTTACTCGAATTAAGAAGGCTGGATTTGCTGAGAACTTTCAAACTATTTAAGTTACGAGATTGAATTTAGATTATTCTGATCTTGTATATTTTCTATAGTGTAATTTTAATCTTCATTTTATGCCTTGGCATCATTCATATTAGCGTTATTCTAAACATCATCTTCCGTTACAAGTTCTTGAGGGATAGTTTTATTCTAGGCAGCATTGATTGTTTTATACTGGATTTAGCTTTATTTATTCAAAATTATTGCTGAACCTATTATTACATTATATAGCGCCCTCTATTTTTTCTGTATTTAATAAGTCAAAATAGTCTAATAGCATTTGTTATTGTTCTTTAACAAAGACACATTCAAGTCTATGAGCGATTAGATTATTTCTGCTTGCAAATTTGCCGTAATCTTGACGAATTTATCAGTATTAAATAAAGAAGAAGTGTTGCTATTCATATTGATAATTAGAGCTAATGATTTAATTCATTTTACTATTTAATCTAAAAATTTCATTCAGTCTGGGGGTTTTGGGGTTTTGGGGTTTTGGGG